CCCCTACCCAGGGCAACTTTATTTATAAGTTTTAAAGTTAGTAACCCTTTCTGGACGTCTAAAGTCAAAACAATAAAATAGGACTTTCCATCTTGGTCCCTTTCTTTCCCTGTTCTCTCCCCCACATGCATAGCTTTTTTTTTATTTTTTAATTTTCATTTTTTTGAGATAGGGTCTCACTCTGTCACCCAGGCTGGAGTGTGGTGATGTGATCTTGGCTTACTGCAACCTCTGCATCCCGTATTCAAGAGATTCTCCTGCAGCAGCCTCCTGAGTAGCTGGGATTATAGGTATATGCCACCACGCTCAGCTAATTTTTATATTTTTAGTAGAGACAAGGTTTCACCGTATTGCCCAGGCTGGTCTCAAACTCCTGTCCTCAGGTGATCCACCCGCCTGGGATTACAGGTATGAGCCCCTACACCCAGCCTCATGCATAACTATTTTTATTAGCTTTGTGGTTTTCTTTCCATTGTTCCTTTTTAAACAATGGACACATGTATTTCTTTTCCTCCATACCACCTTCCTACCTAAAATGTAACATACTATGTGTACTTGTTTACACCTTGCACACTCTCTATGTGTGTGTGTGTGTGTGTGTGTGTGTGTATATATGTGTGTGTATATATATATCTTTTTTTTTTTTTTTTGAGATATGGTCTCACTCTGTCACCCAGGCTGGAGTGCAGTGGCACCATCACTGTTCACTGAAGCCTCGACCTCCCGGGCTCAGGTGATCCTTCCACCTTAGCCTCCAGAGTAGCTGGGACTACAAGTGCACGCCACCATGCCCAGATAGTTTTTGGTATTTTTTTGTAGAGATGGGGTTTTGCTATGTTGCCCAAGCTGGTTTCAAACACCTGGGCTCAAGTGATTTGCCTGCCTTGGCCTCCCAAAGTGCTAGGATTACAAGCATGAGCCACCGCACCCAGCCTACACCTCGATATTTTCACTTTGCAATAGATCCCTGAGGGCTATCTGCAGCAACACATATTGACTCTCATATTCAATTGCTATCTCCAATTGAATCCATTGCTCTTTTACAACTGCAGAGTACCACACTCTATAGGTGACCATAAAGTTATTCAATCAGTTATCTGCTGACGGATTTGGGGGCTGTTCCCAGTCTTTTGCCACAGTAAGTAGTGGTACAAAAAATTCTCATATCTTGCATCTTATAGCTTTTACTGTTACAAATATCTCATATATTTGCATCTTTTTGCCAGCATATATTTGGGATAGACTCATGTGATTATGGGGTTTTAATTTTGCTACATATTGCCAAATTCCTCTCCTTTAGGGCTGTACCACTTTGCATTCCTCCTGTGGCTACTTTTAAGGGAAAACTTCAAACTCCTATAGATGGGAGATGGTGACTTACAAACCAATGGCAGAAAAAAAAAGGGTTCTAACAGAATCTACTTCATTCACTTATTCATTTAACAAACATTTGTTGAGTGTTTAACATATGCCCTTACTCCGGTTAAGAGTGATAACGGGGCTCACAATCTGGAGGGGACACAAAGGGAACACAGGCACTTAAATCACCTTACAGTAAGTGCTGATACGGAAGCACTGGCTGCTCTGGGAGCATGTAGTGGGGCAGGAGGTGTAACCGATTACAGGGGTAGGTATTCAGGAAAGGTTCCTAAAAGAAGTGACTTCTGGCCGGGCGCGGTGGCTCAAGCCTGTAATCCCAGCACTTTGGGAGGCCGAGTCAGGCGGATCACGAGGTCAGGAGATCGAGACCATCCTGCCTAACCCGGTGAAACCCCGTCTCTACTAAAAAATACAAAAAACTAGCCAGGCAAGGTGGCAGGCGCCTGTAGTCCCAGCTACTTGGGAGGCTGAGGCAGGAGAATGGCATAAACCCGGGAGGCGGAGCTTGCAGTGAGCTGAGATCTGGCCACTGCACTCCAGCCTGGGCGACAGAGTGAGACTCCGTCTCAAAAAAAAAAAAAAAAAGAAGTGACTTCTAATCTGAGGCTTAAAAGTTAGGGTTTAGAATTAATCTTGTGTGTGTAATTCTAGAGAAAAATGGCATGATCCATTTTTCTGTTTTAGAAATGTGGTAAGCAGGTGGACTAGAGTGGGGAATGAGGCACAGAGATTGGTTAGGATGACATAGCAGTACTCTAAGCAAGCAATGAGGATGAAACACAGAAGTAGCTGAGAAAAAAAGAAACAAAGGATATTTGTGAGACATTTAGAAAACAGACTGGATGGGAATTGTGGTTGCCTTGAAGGCAGGGGCTGTTGTAAAGTAAAGCCAAGGCCTTTCCTTGATATATTCATTGGCATTCTGCATCACTTTCCTACATAAACCGACCAGACACATAACATGCCACATCTGAGATTTCTAGTTTTGCTTTCTTTAAAATGGAAGAACATCTTGAATACACCTGAACAATCTTCACTACAGAATCTTTTTAGATTGCTACAAATTTTTCTCCCAGGCTTTTACCATTAACTTGTTCATAATTAACTCAATAACAATTTGTCTTAGCTACTCATCTTCAACAAGTGTTTCTGATTTTCAACTTAGTTTTCATAGCAATAGCAACCCTGTTTTTTGGTACTCATATTTCATCATTCTTCGTATTATTTCACTAAATTACATAGTTGCAACTGTAAGCATAAGTGCCATACACACATTTAAAAATTTTTTTTCATTCGTTTTTTTTTTCTTTTTTTATAGAGACTGGATATCACCATGTGGCCCAGGCTGGTCTCGAACTCCTGGGCTTAAGCAATCCTGCCTCGGTCTCCCAAAGTGTTAGGATTACAGGCATGAGTCACTGTGCCAAGCCCACACACACATTATATTTAGAAAAAAACACAGTGGACCCTCACTAAGCACACAACTCAAATGGAGGAGCAGAAACACAGGCATGCCAAGAGACAAGCCTATGAATCATAACCACTCATTGTGCTGTGGGCAAATGTCCGTGTGTTTCTCCTCACAGGCTCTCTCCCCAGAGAGCCCTTCCCTGATCATCTGTTTAAGACTAACCCTTTCCGCTGGGTGTGGTGGCTCATGTCTGTAATCTCAGCACATTGGGGGGCCAGGGCGGGAAGGATCACTTGAGGTCAGGAGTGTGAGACCAGCCTGGCCAACATGGTGAAACCCCATCTCTACTAAAAACACAAAAATTAGCAGGGCATGGTGGCAGGGGCCTATAATCACAGCTACTCAGAAGGCTGAGGCAGGAGAATCACTTGTGCCCAGGAGGTGGAGGTTGCAGTAAGCAGAGGTCGTGCCATTGCACTTTAGCTGGGTGACAGAGCTAGCAAGACTCCTCCTTTGTCTCAAAACAAACAAACAAAAATTAACCCTTTCATCACTCTCTATTCCCAGATTAATTTTGCTTCACAGGATTTAACACCACCTGATTTTTTTCTGTTTCATTTGTTTATTGTCTGTCTCTTCACTAAAATGTAAACTTCCTAAGTAGAGGGATTTAGTTTATCCCTTGTACCTAGAGCAGTTCCTGGCACATAGCAGACACCCAATAAGTATTTGTTAAATGAATACTGTGGAATGAGTGTTTTACACATGAAATTCTCAGTTAATCAAACAAAATAGCTATGTGGAGACTGTTTAAGAAGCAATGCTGCCGGGCGCGGTGGCTCATGCCTGTAATTCCAGCACTTTGGAAGGCTGATGCAGGCGGATCACGAGGTCAAGAGTTCTAGACCAGCCTGGCCAACATGGTGAAACCCCATCTCTACTAAGAATACAAAAATTAGCTGGGCGTGGTGGTGTGTGCCTGTAATCCCAGCTACTCGGGAGGCTGAGGCAGGAGAATCGCTTGAACCCAGGAGGCAGAGGTTGCAGTGAGCCAAAATCACGCCACTACACTCCAGCCTGGCAACAGAGCCAGACTCCGTCTCAAAAAAAGGAAAAGTACTGCCTTCAATTAGTCATTCTAAAGACTTCATGAATTAAACTCCATAAAAGACAAGTGTCCAGCACATATAAAATGCTAAATAAATGTATGTTTATGATGAATATGTTCAATATTTATAGGTGGTTAACGATAAACACCTCTAGTTGAAAATATAATATATATACATATACATGTATATATTTTTGAGACAGGGTCTTGTTCTCTGTCACCCAAGCTGGAGTGCAGTGGCACAATCTTGGCTCACTGCAACCTCCGCCTCCCTGGTTCAATCTATTCTCCTGCCTCAGCCTCCTGAGTAGCTGCGATTATAGGCGCCCGCCACCACGCCTGGCTTTTTTTTTTTTTTTTTTTGGATTTTTAGTAGAGACGGGGTTTCACCATGTTAGCCAGGATGGTCTCCATCTCCTGACCTCATGATCCACCCGCCTCGGCCTCAGGAGATCGAGACTATCCTGGCTAATACGATGAAACCCCGTCTCTACTAAAAATACAAAAAATTAGCCGGGCAAGGTGGCGGGCGCCTGTAGTCCCAGCTACTCGGGAGGCTGAGGCAGAATGGCGTGAACCGAGATCGCGGCACTGCACTTCAGCCTGGGAGACAGAGCGAGACTTCGTAACAACAACAACAACATAAATAAATAAGTAATAAAGCACAGGTTCCCAGGGCATCGTTTCTTCCTCCCACCCTCACGCACTATCCCTAACCAAAGAGACTACACACCCCAGAATGCGAGACTTCGTAACAACAACAACAACAACATAAATAAATAAATAAATAAATAAATAAATAAATAAATAAATAAATAAATAATAAAGGACAGGTTCCCAGGGCATCGTTTCTTCCTCCCACCCTCACGCACCATCCCTAACCAAAGAGACTACACACCCCAGAATGCAACACGCGCCTTCGCGAAGACGACCTACTCATAGCGAGTACTTCACAGCATACAATTCCCAGGCTGCAACGCGACCTCCTTCCCACAGCAACGAAAGGGTGCGACTCCCCGGACTATCAGGCCGGGACAGTCCACTCCCAGCTCACCTCGGAGCTCCGGGAGCCCTTCAGCACCTGCTTGGTGAGCGCGATGACGTCAGTACCACAGGTGGTCACCTTCTCCGTGAGAAGCCCCTTCACAGACTGACCGAATCGCGCTTGAGAATCTGGCGTTCCAGTCGCCATCATTTCAACTAGCGAACGCCTCCGCACTGGCGATGGTGAGTCGCGGGGGCCAAAAAACAAGCAAAGCGGAAGCAAAAGAGGTGTCTTCCTCCATGGGAAAAGGAAGGGACGCATGCGCCTGATGGAAGTTGACCTTCACTCACAAAACTCATGAACTACTCATTGATATCCTGAGGAAAACAGGGTCCAGGCAAACATCTCTGGAGGGAATGGAGGACAATTTCATTGAATCTGTGGTTTAGAATCGGAAAGCCTGCGGCAGGGCATGGTGGCTCACGCCTGTAATCCCAGCACTTTGGGAGGCCCAGACAGGAGATCACCTGAGCCTTAGAGTTCCACACCACCCTGGGCAACATAGCGAGACCCCATCTATTTAAAAAAAAATGAAATTAATACAAATAAATAAAAAGAATCAGAACGCCCAGATTACAGTCCCAATGCTACCATTTGGCAGTGTGTGGCTGCAAATTACTCAGCCTCTGTGTCTTACATTCCTCATCTGTTAAACAGAAGTAATGTTTCCAAGGGGTTATGAGAATATCATTCCATTTATATATATATATATATATATATAAATTTATAAATATATAAATAAATTTTTTTTACCTAGGCCTTTTTTTGATTAATTGCGAAAAGGGGCCAGGCATGGTGGCTCATGCCTGTAATCCCAATACTTTAAAAGGCCAAGGTGGATCACTTGAGGTCAGGAGTTCGAGGCCAACCTATCCAACATGGTGACACGCCTGTAGTCCCAGCACTTTGGGAGGCCGAGGCAGAAGGGTCACTTCAGGCCAGGAGTTCAGTATCAGCAGCCTGGGCAACATAGCAATAACTTGTCTCGTTTTATTTTTTATTTTTTTACTATTTTTTTTTGAGACAGAGTCTCGCTTTGTTGCCCAGGCTGGAGTGCAGTGGCTCAATCTCAGCTCACTACAACATCCGCCTCCTGAGTTCAAGTGATTCTCCTGTCTCAGCCTCCCGAGTAGCTGGGATTACAGGCACTTGCCACCAGGCTCGGTTAATTTTTGTATTTTTGGTAGAGATAGGGTTTCACCATGTTGGACAGGCTGGTCTCAAATTCCTGACGTCAAATGATCCACTAGCCTTGGCCTCCCAAAATGGTGGGATTACAGGCATGAGCCACTGCACTTGGCCTCGTTTCATTCAATTTTAACAAAACATTTCATGAACTAAATATGAGACACTGTACTAGGCTGGGGATAGAGAAATCAATGAAATACAGTTCTTGTCTCTGTGGAGCTCCCAGGCTGATGAGGCAGATAGGCCTGTAAACAAATGAAGAAAGAAGACCAGTCTAATAGAAAAATTGGCAAAAGTCACAAATAGGCAATTCAAAAAAAAAAAAAAATCAACTGGCTGCTAAATGTGAAAAATGCTCAGTGTCACTAGTAATTTTTATTGATAAATAACCTCTTTATTCTATTAATACCAAACTGATGGTAACTACCTTGTAAGTGAATTAATATGTAAAATATTTCAAGTAGGCCGGGCACCGTGGCTCACGCCTGTAATCCCAGTACTTTGGGAGGCCAAAGCGGGAGGATCACCTGAGGTCAGGAGTTCGAGACCAGCCTGCCCAACATGGTGAATTCCTGTCTCTACTAAAAATACAAAAATTAGCCGAACGTGGTGGTGGGCACCTATAGTCCCAGCTACGTGGGAGGCTGATGCAGGAGAATTTCTTGAACCCGAGAGGCGGAGGTTGCAGTGAGCCAAGATCGTGCCACTGTATTCCAACCTGGGCAACAGAGTAAAACACTGTCTCAAAAAAAAAAAATACTTCAAGTAGCTCCATTTCTTTTTTAGTTAATTAATAAAAGATGTGAGAATGTTATTACATTGAAAAATTTGTTCAAAATTACCTGTATTCAATATCAACATTACTTCCACTTCCAAGTGTCTGGATTCATATGTCTATGTTGAATCTCATTTACTATTTACTTTTTGTCCTTAATAAACTTTATTGAGTTTATGTGCATGAATTTATGTTATAATTTATGTGCAATAACTACATTATTTTTTGAGATGGAGCGTTGCTCTGTCACCCACGCTGGAGTGCAGTGGCACGACCTCAGCTCAGTGCAACCTCTGCCTCCCTGATTCAAGCGATTCTCCTGCCTCAGCCTCCCGAGTAGCTGGGATTACAGATGCCCACTACCACGCCCGGCTAATTTTTGTATTTTTAGTAGAGACGGATTTCACCATGTTGGCCAGGCTAGTCTTGAACTCCTGACCTCAGGTGATCCACCTGCCTTGGCCTCCCAAAGTGCTGGGATTATAGGCGTGAGCCGCCACGCCCAGCCTGTACAATAACTGCATTCTTTAAAGTGTCCGATTTGATGAGTTTGACAGATGTATACACCTGTGAACCACTACTACCATTAAGATACAGAACAGGGTGAGTGCAGTAGCTCATGCCTGTATTCCCAGCACTTTGGGAAGCCGAGGCAGAAGGATTGCTTGAGGCCAGGAGTTCAATATCAGCAGCCTGGGCAACATAGCGATAACTTGTCTCATTTTATTATTTATTTATTTATTTTTATTTTTATTTTATTTATTTTTATTTTATTTTATTTATTTTATTTTGAGACTGAGTCTTGCTCTGTCACCCAGGCTAGAGTACACTGGTATGATCTCGGCTCACCTGAACCTCCGCCTTCTGGGTTCAAGCGATTCTTTTGCCTCAGCCTCCCAAGTAGCTGGGACTACAGGCACGCACCATCGCGCCTGGCTGATTTTTGTATTTTTAATCGAGACGGGGTTTCACCATGTTGGCCAGGCTGGTCTTGAAATCCTGACCTCGTGATTCGCCCACCTCAGCCTCCCAAAGTGCTGGGATACAGGCATGAGCCACCAAGCCTGGCCCCTTGTCTCAATTTAAAAAAAAAAAAAAATGCAAAACATTTTGTCACCCTCAGAAGTTTCCAAGTGCCCTTTAAAGTCCATCTCTCCTTCTCTGTCTCACCCCAGGCAGCAACTGCCCTGCTTTTGGGAACTATAGATTAATTTGCATTTCTAGAATGGCAAATAAATAGCATCATACAGGATTTTTGGTAGGGAGGGGGGCCTTTTCTTGTCTGGCTTCATTCTTGCAGCATGATGATTTGACAGTCATCTATGTTGTTGTGCATATAACTAACCTGTTCATTTTTATTGCTGAGAAATATTCCACTGCATGGATAGTTCTCACTGTGTTTATTTACTCTCGTTGATGGACACTTGGGTTGTTTCCATTTTTGGGTTTTTGTTTTGTTTTTTGGTTTTGGTTTTTGTCATTGTTGTTTTTGAGACAGGGTCACTCCTCTGTCATCCAGGCTGGAGTGCATGGCATGACCACAGCTCAAGCTCCCAGGCTCAAGCAGTGCTCCCACCTCAGCCTCCAGAAGAGCTGAAACTACAGGCTCATGCCACCATGACTGGCTAATTTTTACAATTTTTTCTGTAGAGAGGGTCTCCCTATGTTGCCTGGGCTCAAGTGATTTTCCTGCCTTTCCCTCCCAAACTATTGGGATTACAGGCGTGAGCCTCTTCTTTTCCACCTGGCCTCTTCTTTTCTAATATTATGAATCTTCTGCTATGAACATTTGTACACAAGTCTTTATGTGAGTTGTTTTCATTTCTCTTGGGTAAATATCTAGTGGAATAACTGGATCATATGGTGTTTACGTTTTCAAGAAACTGCCAAACCGTTTTCCAAAGTGGTTTAACATTTTACATTTCCAATAGCCGTGTATACCACTCCAGTTGCTCCACATCCACAAACTTAGGAAAAGATGGACTGTTCTATAGCCATGGTAACAAGTAGTAGCTACCTGTGGTGGACAGAATGGCCCCTGAGGGTAATAACTTTTGACCCCACCTCCTGGTGTTCTCACTCTTGTGTGATCCTCTTGTGTGTGGGCATGATGTTTGATTTGCTTCTAATTGATTGTGTATGTATAGGTGATAAGAAACACATGATGTTGTTACATAAGATTACATGTTACATCACCATTCCCCTCATCTTGCTGGAGCCTCTCTCTCTTGCTGGCTGTGAGTAAGCGAGTGGCCATGTTGGAGAGCTCCACGTGACAAGGAACTGCAAGTACCATCTAGTCACCTACCTCTGGGCCTCCAGCTGACAGCCAGCGAAAAAAAAAAAAAAGCTCTCAGTCCAGCAATCAAAAGGAACTGAATTCTGCTAACAACCAGGCACATAGGAAGCAGATTCTTCCCCAGTAGAGCCTTCAGATGAAACCCATCCTTGGCCCACACCTTTACTGCAGCCTGTGAGATGCTAAGTAGATGGCCCAGAGAAACTGTACTTAGGTTCCTAACCCACCAAGACTGTAAGATAATACAGGTGTGTTGTTTTAAGCCACAGAGTTTGTGGTAATATTCATGGTAATGTGGTAGTAGAAAACTAATATATTACTAGAACTCATTTGAAATCTGTTCAGCTGGGCACAGTGGCTCACACTGGTAATCCCAGCACTTTGAGAGGCCAGGTAGGGAGGATCATTGGAGCTCAGGAATTCAAGACCAGCTTGGGGATCGTGGTGAAACCCCATCTCTATGAAAAGTTCAAAAATCAGCTGAGCGTGAAGGTATGCACCTGTAGTCCCAGCTACTTGGGAGGCTGAGGTGGGAGGATTACCTGAACCCAGGAAGTCAAGGCTGAAGTGAGCCGTGATTGCACCACTGCATTCAGGCTAAATGACAGAGCCAGACCCTGTCTCAAAAAAAAAATAAAGAAAATAAACAGAAAAAACATCCGTTTGATCAGTTTATGACAGCTCACCTCAGTGAACCCCCTTTTGCAAACCAAACAATCAGGATCTGCCCCTTCACTTCTGAAAATCAATCATTCAGGAGTTTGAGTCCTGCCTGGGCAATATAGAAAGACATTGTCAAAAGAGGCCGGGCACAATGGCTCACGCCTGCGATCCCAGGCCGAGGTGGGTAGGTCGCCTGAGGTGAGGAGCTTGAGACCAGCCTGGCCAACATGGTGAAACCCCATCTCTACTAAAAATACAAAAATTAGCCAGGCATGGTGGCACGCATCTGTAGTCCCAGCTACACAGGAGGCTGAGGCAGGAGAATCACTTGAACCCAGGAGGCAGACGTTGGAGTCAACCAAGATCACGCCACTACACGCCAACCTGGGTAACAGAGTGAGACTCTGTCTAAAAATAAAAACATAAAAAAAAAGACAGACATTGTGAAAAGAGAAGAAAGAGAAATAATAATAGGAAAGTTATAGAAAACTATTCATGTCAAAAAATGCAATACAGCCTCGTTTAGGTTAAAAAATACATTTTAAAAATATTTATTTTTAGTAATTTGCATTTTCCAGATTTCTGCAATGATGTATAACTTTTATAATATGGTGGTGAGGGTGTGAAGCAACACATTTTGTGTGTGTGTGTGTGTGTTTTTAATTCCCATTTCTTATTTGTGATTGGGGTGAAATATCAGAAGGTCAGCTTGGCAGTCACTGTAGGAGTAGAAAGTAGCCATTCATATTTCCCTACCAGCTGGCTGACCCCACTGAGGCCCCTGCGTGGATCTTAGGATTCAGGCCTCTCTACTTGTCTGTCCAGCTCTCAGGCTTTACACACAATCTCCTCATCCAGTCTACCCCATGCACCAACACCAATTTCACCCTCTTAAACATCACTATCATCTTGCTGCTCCCTGCTGCAGTGCTCTCAATAGCTCCTACAGCCTCCCTATACCCTTTATACCCTTCCATTCCAGGGCTCCAGAGCCTGAATCAGTGTACCCCTCAGATCTTTCTCAGGGATCCCCCACAACACACCTCTTCATCTTTTCAGCTAAGGCCATCACCATTTCCCTCATGCTATGCTCCTTCCAGCCTCTGTTACTCTCCCTTCCAGCAACACCCTTCTCTCCCTATTCCTTCACATCTCTACCTAACAGTTGTGAGGCAGGAGGTGGGACTGGACTCAGGAAGGTGAACTCTACTCTAGAGGCAGGGCTCAGACACCAGACCAAATTCAGGACCAGTTAAACAGATCTGGCGCAGGCTGGGCACAGTGGCTCACGCCTGTAATCCTTACACTTTGGGAGGCTGATGCAGGCAGATTGCCTGAGCTCAGGAGTTCAAGACCACCCTGGTAACATGGCGAAACCCTGTCTCTACTAAAATACAAAAATTAGCCGGTGTAGTGGTGTGTGCCTGTAGTCCCAGCTACTTGGGAGGCCGAGGCATGAGAATCGCTTGAACATGGGAGGCGGAGGTTGCAGTGAGCCAAGATCGTACCAATGCACTCCAGCCTGGGCAACAAAGTGAGGTTCCATCTCAAAAAAAAAAACCAGGTCCAGGGCAGAAGCAGCTTTCCATAAGACACACCCACCAGTGTGCCATGTCACTTTACCATTGCCTTGGCAACACCCAGATATTAACACCCCTTTCCATGGCAGTAACTTGATGGCCTGAAAATTACTACCTCATCCTAGAAATTTCTATATAACCACCCCTTAATTTGCATATAATTAAAAGTGGCTGTAAATATGAGTGCAGCTCTGCCTCTGAGCTGTGACTTTGGGCACACTACCCCTGAGTAGCCCTGCTCCACGAGGAGCAGTACCTCTGCTGCTCTGTGCACTGCTGCTTGCTGGCTACCACCACCAGCTTGCCCTGGAATTCTTTCTTGGGTGAAGCCAAGAACCCGCCTGGGCTAAGCCCCAGTTTAGAGGTTTGCCTGACTGTCCTGCATCAGTCCTAGCTCTCCTTCAAGGCCTACCTCAAATCCCCTTTCTTTCATGAAAGTTTCTCATAGGTTTCATCCCAGCCCACACCCCTGGCTGCAAATGGCCTTAAAAATCTGAACAACAGGCCGGGCGCGGTGGCTCAAGCCTGTAATCCCAGCACTTTGGGAGGCCGAGATGGGCAGATCACGAGGTCAGGAGATCGAGACCATCCTGGCTAACAAGGTGAAACCCCGTCTCTACTAAAACAATACAAAAAAAAAAAAAAAAAAAAAAAATCTGAACAACATTTGAAAATTCTGAGTAATGGGCAACCAGGCAGTCTGACTTACGAGGCCTGGCCAGCTCTTCTTCATCATGCGGCCCCCTACCTGCTGCCTTCCTGCCTAATTCCAGCAGCCTTCACTTCAGTCCTCACTGAACCTGCAGACCACTCCCAGAGGCAGGGACAGATGCCATCTCCCACCTCTGTGAGCCTCAACTAACAACTCCTGGTTGGCCCTTCTCTTCTATAATGATTGACACCAAGAATGTCCACTACCTTGGGGCTGTGATTTCATCTGGTAATATCAATTTTTTTTTTTTTTTTTTTTGAGACAGAGTCTCACTCTGTCACCCAGGCTGGAGTGCAGTGGCATGATCTCAGCTCACTGCAGCCTCCACCTCCCAGGTTCAAGCGATTCTTCTACCTCAGCCTCCCAAGTACCTGGGATTACAGACGCACACCACCATGACCGGCTAATTTATGTATTTTTAGTAGAGACGGGGTTTTGGCATGTTGGTCAGGCTGGTCTCGAACTCCTGGCCTCATGTGATCTGCCCGCATCAGCCTCCCAAGGTGCTGGGATTATAGGCGTGGGGCACTGCACCCAGCCTGAGAGGTAAATTTTTTGAAAGGTAAGCTTTAGTGGAACAATCCTGAAGAACAACACAAGAGGAATAGCAGGTTACCAGTAAGATGTCAGCCAATTTGTTCCAGCCACTTTTGAATCCATGTCCTATAATCTAAAATTTAGTTCTCTTTCCCTAAGCTGAGTGCTTTCTATCATGTCAGTATCTATGTTATGAAGAAAAGGAGACTTAGGTGAGATGTATGTATTTATCACAACTGCTGCATCAATTGCCTAGGACTTCAACAGCTTCATGGAAGTCTGGGAAATGTTCATGCATAAGGTTATTGCCTTAGCTGACTGAAAATTGCCCCATACAGTGGTACATATCAACCCTTAGTGAGGCCTTTTAAAGAACAAACAGGTTGAAAAATGGGTTAAAGTAAGCAAATACAGCATCTGTCTTTAGAGCTATCAACTCAGGAATTCTCGCAATTATGAAATCTTGCAGAGAAGTTATTTTTCTTTCTCAAAATCCAGATAATGACAATATTCCTTACTCCAGATCAGGCATTTTTTCATCATCACTGTCTTGTGAATGATCGTCTGCTCCATCTGCTAAATCTACATCTTCTTCACCACCCATATTGTTCATCATCTCAGAGAAATGATCAAAATCAGACATGGCTTCATCTGAATCATCTTCCCAGTCTTTCCAATGATTGGAGTCCACACTCAGCCAGTTAAGCTTTGCCCTTTGTTTTGTTAACCTTGGCCATGACTGGCCACATTTTCCTTTTTGTAAACAAATAAAATTGATCTGTCCATTCTTTTATGCTTGAAATCATTTGGATCAATACAGTGAAAAATATCGATTTCAAATAAATGCTTAAAATGGTCACTTCCAAGAAGTGGCTGTACGAGGGCTTCTGCACGGCTAGCAGAGCAGCGGTCCCGACCACAGTGCATGCCCTGAGCTCTCCGCCTCCCCTACCTGCCCGTGAGGTGACAGCAGTGCCGCAAGCAGCCCACAGCAGGGTGGAACACCCACATCGACAACCTCGTGGTGGAAGGGACCTGTAGGACGCAGCCATCGTGGGCTACAAGGACTTGCCTTCCATCCAGGCCACCATCCCTGGGAAAACCTTTGTCAACATCTGGCCAGCTGAGGTTGATGTCCTGATTGGCAAAGACTGGTCAAGTTTTTTTGCGAATGGAGTGACACTTGGGGGCCAGAAATGTTCTGTGATCTGAGACCCACTGCTGCAGGATGGAGAACTGACCCATCTTTGTACCAAGAGCAGCGATGGAGCTCCCACCTTCAATGTCACTGTTACCATGACTGTCAGGACGCTAGAGTTGCGGGCAGTCAGGGACCCTGAACGGAGGGACTGGCTGGAGCCATGGCAGAGGAACATAAATTGTCAATATTTCATTTTAATATGGACATTTATCAGTTCCCAAATAATACTTCTATAATTTCTTATGCCTGTCTATTTAATCTCTTAATCCTGTTATCTTCATAAGCTGAGGATGTATGTCACCTCAGGACCACTGTGATAATTATGTTAACTGTACAAATTGATTGTAAAGCATGTGTTTGAACAATATGAAGTCAGTGCACCTTGAAAAAGAACAGAATAATAGTGATTTTTAGGGAAAAAGGAAAGACAACCATAAGGTCTGACTGCCTGTGGGGTTGGGCAAAAGAGCCATATTTTCCTTCTTGCAGAGAGCCTATAAACAGATGTGCGAGTAGGGAAGATATCGCTAAATTCTTTTCCTAGCAAGGAATATTAATATTAATATTAATGCCCTGGGAAACTTATGCATTCCTGGGGGAAGATCTATAAATGGCCGCTCTGGGAATGTCTGTCTTGTGCAGTTGAGATAAGGACTGAGATACACCCTGGTCTCCTGCAGTACCCTCAGGCTTACTAGGGTGGGGAAAATCTCCACTCTGGTAAATTTGTAGTCAGACCAGTTCTCTGCTCTCAAACCCTGTTTTCTGGTGTTTAAGATGTTTATCAAGACAATACGTGCAGCACTGAACATAGACCCTTATCTGTAGTTCTGCTTTTGCCTTTCTCCTTGTGATCTTTGTGGGACCCTTATCAGTAATTCTGCTTTTGCCCTTTGTCCTGTTCTCTCAGAAGCCTGTGATCTTTGTTAGACCCTTATTAGTAGTTCTGCTTTTTGCCCTTTGAAGCATGTGATCTTTGCACCTACTCCCTGTTCTTTCACCCTCTCCGCTTTTTGAAACCCTTAATAAAAACTTGCCGGTTTGAGGCTCAGGCGGGCATCATGGTCCTACCAATATGTGATGCCACCCCCAGCAGCCCAGCTATAATATTCGTCTCTTTATACTGTCTCTCTTTATTTCTCAGCTGGCCGACACGGAAAATATAACATATGTTGAAATATTGGGGGTGGGTTCCCCCAATATCTGGTGTGCCAATGTGTTTTTCTTTTTCCTAAGTGCATGTGGGAACCCGATTCCCTTTCTTTTTTTTTTTTTTTTTTTTGAGACAGAGTCTCGCTCTGTCGCCCAGGCTGGAGTGCAGTGGCCGGATCTCAGCTCACTGCAAGCTCCGCCTCCCGGGTTTACGCCATTCTCCTGCCTCAGCCTCCCGAGTAGCTAGGACTACAGGTGACCACCACCTCACCCGGCTAATTTTTTGTATTTTTTAGTAGAGACGGGGTTTCACCGTGTTAGCCAGGATGGTCTCGATCTCCTGACCTCGTGATCCACCCGTCTCGGCCTCCCAAAGTGCTGGGATTACAGGCTTGAGCCACCGCGCCCAGCCCCCGATTCCCTTTCATAGGTGCAGAGAAACGTTCATTGATCCAGTCCACAGAAACGCTTGTTTGGCCCCCTGCTGATTGGTGAGTTGTCTGTGTATTGTCCAGGGTAACTATGGGTCACACACAGTCTAAACATTATGCTTATCTCTGCTATATTAAACTCCTGTTAAAACCGGGGCAGGGGGAGTTCAGGTACCCATGGAAAACATGGGCACCCTATTCAGGGTGGTGGAAGAACACTGTCCTTGGTTTTCCAAAAAGGGAATGTTAGATATGGAATTATGGGATCGTGTTGGTGCAAAATTCTGGGAACTGGTCCCGACAGGAAATTATGTTCCCATCACTGTTTGGGGTGACTGGGCCTTGGTATGTGCCATCCTAATGTAATACCAATCCCGTGACCCCCTGCAGTTACCACAGTTTTCTGAATCTGGAGACCTTCCACCTTTTCCTCAGCTTTCCTCTCCCGCTTGGCCTTCACTATCTGCTCAGCCTCTCTCTCCCTTCGTCTGCTCCTCCCCACCTGAGGATATTGAAGATTCAATATCTAACTCTGGTGACTTTGGCTTAACATCACCCCCTGATGATCTTATTTCTTTTTAGCTTTGTAAGCTGAGGATGTTTGTCACCTCAGGACCACTGTGATAATTGTGTTAACTGTACAAATTGATTATAAAATATAGGTGTTTGAACAATACGAAATCAGTGCACCTTGAAAAAGAACAGAATAATAGCGTTTTTTAGGGAACACGGGAAGACAAACATAAGGTCTGACTGCCTGTGGGATCGGGCAAAAAGAGCCATATTTTCCTTCTTGCAGAAAGGCTATAAATGGACGTGCAAGTAGGGAAGATATCACTAAATTCTTTTTGTAGCAAGGAATATTAATATTAATATCATGGGAAAGGAATGCATTCCTGGGGGGAGGTCTATAAACAGCCGCTCTGGGAATGTCTGCCTTGTGCAATTGAGATAAGGACTGAGATACGCCTGGTCTCGGTTTGAGATATGCCTGAGGGTACTCCCTCAGGCTTACTAGGGTGGGGAAAAACTGCACCCTGGTAAATTTGTGATCAGACCGGCTCTCTGCTCTCAAACCTTGTTTTCTGGTGTTTAAGATGTTTATCAAGACAATACGTGCACTGCTGAATGTAAACCCTTATCTGTAGTTCTGCTTTTGCCCTTTGCCTTATGATCTTTGTTGGACCCTTATCAGTAGTTCTTTTGCCCTTTGTTTTGTTCCCTCAGAAGCATGTGATCTTTGTTAGACCCTTATTAGTAGTTCTACTTTTTGCCCTTTGAAGCATGTGATCTTTGTACCTACTCCCTGTTCTTACACCCCCTCCCCTTTTTGAAATCCTTAATAGGCTGGGCGTGGTGGCTCACGCCTGTAATCCCAGCACTTTGGGAGGCCGAGGTGGGTAGATCACGAGTTCAGGAGATCAAGACCATCCTGGCTAACACAGTGAAACCCCATTTCTACTAATAATACAAAAAAATTAGCCAGGCGTGGTGGCGGGCACCTGTGGTCCCGGCTACTCGGGAGTCTGAGGCCGGAGATTGGCATGAACCCAGGATACTGAGCTTGCAGTGAGCTGAGATTGTGCCACTGCACTCCAGCCTGGGTGACAGAGCAAGACTCTGTCTCAAAAAAAAAAATAGAAAAGAAGAAAAAGTAACCCATAATAAAAACTTGCTGGTTCGAGGCTCAGGCAGGCATCATGGTCCTACCAATATGTGATGCCACCCCTGGTGGCCCAGCAGTTAAATTCCTCTCTTTATACTGTCTCTCTTTATTTCTCAGCCAGCCAACAGTTATGGAAAATAGAAATAACCTACGTTGAAATATTGGGGGCATGTTCCCCCAGTATCTCGCATGCTAACATAGTTTTCTTTTTCCTAAGTGCATGTGGGAACACAATTCCCTTTGGAAGGTGTGGAGAAACGTTCATCAGTCCGGTCCACAGAAACACTTGTTTGGCTCCCTGAAGACTGGTGAATTGTCTGTGTATTGTGTGGGGTAACTATGGGTCACGCAGAGTCTAAACATTATGCTTATCTCTGCTATATTAAACTCCTGTTAAAACAGAGGGGAGTTCGGGTACCCTTGGAAATATGGTCACCCTATTCAGAGCGCTGGAAGAACACTGTCCTTGGTTTCCTGAAAAGAGAACGTTAGATGTGGAACTATGGGACCATATTGGTGCAAAATTCCAGGAACTAGTCCTGACAGGATATTATGTTCCCATCACTGTTTGGGGTGACTGGGCCTTGGTACATGCCATCCTAATGACATACGAATCCCGTGACCCCCTGCAGTTACCACAATTTTCTGAATCTGGAGACACTCCACCTTTTCCTCAGCTTTCCTCTCCCGCTCGGCCTTCGCTATCTGCTCAGCCTCTCTCTCCCTTCATCTGCTCCTCCCCCACCTGAGGATATTGAAGATTCAATATCTAACTCCAGTGACTTTGGCTTAACGTCACCCTCTGATGATCTTATTTCTTTTCATAAAGAGCCGGTACTTGTAGCTCCCGTGGCCCCGACTCGGACAGGCTGGGACCATATCTATGCTAACTCTTCACTCTTCAAACCTTTGCAGCCTTTGCCTCTGGAGCCATCTAATGACTCTGGGACTAAACTACAATTTACCTGTAATTCTGCAGGCCCTTCCCTGTCCATTGCAGCCCCTCACCCTCCTGTCATTTCGGTCCCTCAGCCGGTCACTTTGCCATCCACTCAACCTGCTTCTCTGTACTAATCTTCATACATGGATACACCTGCCACTCTTGTTGCACAGGATTGGGCAATAATCACTGGTATGCTTCTGTCTCTTCTCCTCCTCCAAAGCCCACTTCTCATGCTGTCATACTGGTCTGACCTCCTCAACCTCAGTTCCCCTTATCTACACATACTTTTCCTGTCACTTCTATGCCGACTCCATCTCATGTGCCTGTTCTTGAAACTTCCATGCTACACTTATTACACCAAAACAAAAAAGCAAGTGGATTAGAGGTGTGGCCT